TGATTACAAGGTGGTTATAGTTATGATACGTTGTTAAGATTCATTGAATTATACACTTAAGAGTTGTGTATTTCATTATTGATAAATTGTACCTCACCAACAACAAAAAAATGAAACTTCAAACAAATATTGAACTCCAGTAGGCTTGCTTTACACAATGGTATGGTTTATCAGTTATAAAGCTACTTCCTGTATTTTCTTGTCTGTGAACAAATGTATAAATATATTGTGTAATGGGAGCGTTTTCTCACTCTTAGAAATATATATAGATTTCCTAACTCTGCCTAGAGGCACTAAAGCAGTGACCCCAAAGTAGCAACAAACACACCTTGTAATCAGATCTTGGTTTCTCAACACCACTCTCCATTAAGAGGAATCAGGCTCCTGTGGAGAAATAACTGATTCTAGGGTAATTAAAATACAAGATAAACATGGAATATCTGTATACCCAAAAGTAAAGAATTTGCTCCAAACGTGATGGGGAGATGTCAAAATGACAAAATGAGGCTCCCACTGGCAGTCAACATCAACCAACACCCTCCAGCAATTTATCTGCTATCTCATCAGTGGGGGGCATGTTCCTGTGGCAGGAACTACACCATCTCTTCACAGGCCTGAATCTCTACCTCGTGGCTGGGGAAGTGAGCACTTCTTCAAGTTTCTAAGGTACTTCCTTGCTAACTCTTCTTCAGCCCAGAGATAGTAGCTGCATTTTGTAGTTGCTATTTCTTTCTTTTTTTTTTTTTTAAGATTTTATCTATTTATTTGACAGAGAGAGAGCACAAGTAGGCAGAGAAGTAGGCAGAGAGAGAGGGGGAAGCAGGCTCCCCACCAAGCAGAGAGCCCCATGCGGGGCTCGATGCGGGGCTTGATCCCAGGACCCTGAGATCATGACCTGAGCCAAAGGCAGAGGCTTAACCCACTGAGCCACACAGGCACCCCAGTTGTTATTTCTGGGTAACTTCTGTATAACCTAGAGTCCTTGTTGAGCCCCCCCTTACTAATTATTTTTTACTAGAAAACAAGTCTATATTAATTTTTTCCTTAAAATCACTGGTCTGGTATCTGTCTTCTAATTGGATCTTGACTGATAAGAGGACACATCACTTCTCTCTTAGTCCTATCAAAAAGCACATACCTAGGGGCGGCCGCCTGGGTGGCTCAATGGTTTAAGCCTCTGCCTTCAGCTCAGGTCATGGTCTCAAGGTCCTGGGATCCAGCCCCACATCCAGCTCTCCGCTCAGCAGGAAGCCTGCTTCCCCCTCTCCCTCTGCCTGCCTCTCTGCCTACTTGTGATCTCTCTGTCTGTCAAATAAATAAATAAAATCTTTAAAAATATATTAAAAAAATAAAGATTTTATTTATTTATTTGACAGACAGAGATCACAAGTAGGCAGAGAGACAGGCAGAGGGAGAAGAGGAAGCAGGCTCCCCGCTGAGCGAAGAGCCCAATGCAGGGCTCGATCCCATGACGATGAGATCATGACCTGAGCCAAAAGCAGAGGCTTAACCCACTGAACCACCCAGGTGCCCCTAAATAAATAAAATCTTAAAAAAAAAAAAAAAAAAAGAGGGGCATCTTGGTTGCTCAGTGCGTTAAGCCTCTGCTTTCGGCTTAGGTCATGATCTCAGGGTCCTAGGACGGAGCCCCACATCAGGCTCTCTGCTCGGCGGGGAGCCTGCTTCCCCCCCTCTCTCTCTCTGCCTGGTCTCTGCCTACCTGTGATCTCTCTGTCAAATAAATAAATAAAATCTTTTTAAAAACATTAAAAAAAAAAGAGAAAGAACACGTATACCTAAATATAATCACGAGGAAAACCCAAAATGAGAGATATTTTACAAATTAAGTGACCTGTATTTTTCAAAATTTCAGTGAAAAACAAAGAAAAATGGCAACTAACTGCAATGTGTGACTCCTGCTTGGGCTCTGCGGTTGGGGAATGGGAAATAATTACAAAGCATATTTACTGGGACGACTGATGAAATCTGAATATGGACCATGGATTAGGTAATAATATCCTACCAATGTTATATTTCTTTTTTTTTTTTAAGATCACAATTAGGCAGAGAGGCAGGCAGAGAGAGAGGAGGAAGCAGGCTCCCCACTGAGCAGAGAGCCCGATGTGGGGCTCGATCCCAGGACCCTGGGATCACGACCTGAGCTGAAGGCAGAGGCTTTAACCCGCTGAGCCACCCAGGCGCCACCCCAATGTTATATTTCTAATTGTGATGATTATACTGTAATAAGTTAAGAGAATGTCTTTATTCTTGGGAAATACACACTAATGTCCTTAACAGTAATGGGCAACTTTCAAAAATTTTTCAAAATAAACCATTGCGTGAGTGTGTTTGTGTTGTGTGGTGTGTGTGTGTGTGTGTGTGTGTGTGTGTTTACAGGGATGGGAGAGACCAATAAAGCAAATGGGGTGACTTGTAAACAACTGGTAAATCCAGGTGAAGTGAATACAAGAGTTCTTTCTACTATTCTTGCATTTATTCTAAAAATGTTAAATTATATTAAAGTTGAAAATTGCCAAAACCAAAAAATATATTTAGTCCTTGAAATATGTTAAATGTTTTAAAAGGAAAGCATCAATAAAAATTCAAAACTGAAATCCAATTCAAGACAGCAAACTGAATACATGCATAACAGGATTAAGAAACTACCAACAAATTTTGAAATATCCCTGAGTAGATCAGAAATTGTGAGCAGGTAGGATTTGATAGCAAAACCTGCAATGCAAAACTCATAAAGAAGGAAGCTGTTGAGAGGTTTAAAAAGCCATTCCCAACCTCCCAGCTCAGAGTTAACAAAAAAGTAGACAGGGAAAATTATCAAAGCAACGAATTGAAGGAAGAATTCAGGATACAGTAGTATCCCCTACACACAGTTTTGCTTTCTATGGTTTCAGTTATTCAAGGTCAGCCACATCCTGGGAGCAGATGATCCTCCTCCTGACTTATCTGTCAATAACAACCTAACCTTAAATCACAATTGTATGTCATTCACCTCACTTCCTTTCATCATGTGGGCATATCATCTCTCACCATCACAAGGAGAAGGATGAGTACAGTACAGTTAGATTTTTTTTTTTAATTTGACAGATTTTAATTTTAAGTAGGCAGAGAGGCAGGCAGAGAGAAGGGGGTAAGCAGGCTCCCTGCAGAGCAGACAGCCCAATGCAGGACTGGAATCCAGGACGCTGAGATCATGACCTCAGCCAAAGGCAGAGGCTTAACCCAGTGAGCCACCCAGGCACCCCAGTTAGATATTTTGACAGACACCACATTCACATATTGTTATAATTGTTCTATTTTATTATTGTTGTCATTAATCTCTTACTATTCCTCACTTACACATCAAGCCTTATCATAGGTTATGTATAAGAAAAAAATATAGTATATATGGGGTTCAGTACTGTTCCTAGTTTCAGGGATCTTGGAATATATCCTCCATGTATGAAGTGGGGAACACTAGATCCTTCCAGCATCTTCCCCTCCTCTGCTTATACTAAACAGGAGGCATCCTCAACATATGATTTTAGAACAAAAGTCACAGAACTCCTTTCTAAACAAAGTGAGCAATTGTATGTGGGAGGGGGTGTGGGTGTGGGTAGAGTGTGGAGGGTGTTCTTGTTAATGATAAGGCTAGATAGACACAGAGCAGAAAGGCAAAAACCCTGCTAATTTCAGTTTTGTCCCTGGCATAGATAGTTTCCATAATCGGCACTAAAGGCTGAGCGGCAGGGAAGTAACCCAGGTTACTTGTAAGGGATGGAAAGGGAGGTCTCTCCCTCCTTCTCACTCCTACTACATAAGACAAATTATTCATCCTACTCAACTGTGTTGCTGGACCTTTCACCATTTCCAACATACAACCTACCTTCCCTCAAGCCCAAAATGACTCTAGGCAATGACCAGAGGCAAGATTTCTGAAATTAAAATTTGAATTCACCAACAAAAGAACATTAATTCTAGAATGAAAGCTCATTGTAAAAGGGATTTTTGTCTTTTATTTTCTACGATTCATCACCCAAAACCTGTAACAGTGTAACTGCTCAGTAAATATTTGTTGAATGAATTGAAAAAAAAAAAATTTTTTTTCAGTAGAAATGCCTTAAATACCTAACTCTAATGGAGTTGCTTAAGCAGTAATCCATGCACCTAAATATTATGCAACCATTAAAAAGTTTATTTGTGGGGCGCCAGGGTGGCTCAGTCAGTTAAAGCCTCTGCCTCGGGCTCAGGTCGTGATCCCAGGGTCCTGGGATCCAGCCCCGCATGGGGCTCTCTGCTCTGCAGGAAGCCTGCTTCCCCCTCTCCCTCTGCCTGCCTCTCTGCCTACTTGTGATCTCTGTCAAGTCAATAAAGAAAATCTTTTAAAAAATTAAGTTTATTTGTAAAGTTAGCGATATAGAGAAAAAAATTTGATTACATTGAATGTTTTTAAGAAGGTAATGGATAACACATTCCTGAGAGAAATACACAACCTCTCTGTGGGTTTTTGGATTTTTGTTTTGTCCTTCTCTGTACTTTCTGATTACAAATTACTCTTATTCTTAGAAAGAGACTCGCTTAATTTTCTTATTTTTTTCTTGAGAACACATTCAAACCCAACCCAGACATGATAACCACCTTGGCTGAACTGAATATACCAATCAATAAACAAATGCAGAATCCTAAACAGTGAGCATAAAGTATTGCGTGAGAGCTTCGACTCTGAAGACTACATGCACATATAACTAACTTACGCCTAAATTACGGAACCTGAATACTGACAACGTTAACTTAATAGACGTGGGACCCAGAGTAAGTTCCTTAGCCTCCATCAGCTTTAAAATTCAAAGCTTAGGGTTAAGATTAAATGAATCAATTCTCATTTAAAGCACTTAGAACAGTGCCGACACCACAGAACCATGCACGTATAGCTTCCATCATTGCTGGATTCAAAACATTGTAGTAGCTCTGGTGAGAAGGACGTATCAAAATCCAGTCCCTACCCGCGAAGAGTGGGGGGACACACACAAAAGCAACGCAGGAGTCAAAGCAGGATGGAATCCGGTTAAAACCAAGTAGAGGCAACAAGCGGGCAGTTAGAGGAAGGAGTTCTTCATTCCGAAAAGCGTTAAAATCCAGAAAGTCACGGGAGCAAAAGCATTTGAACCGAGTTCCAGGAACGCGCAGGACTTCAGCAAGCGACGAATTCAGACCGACCTGAGGGAAACCGCGGAGGATCTTGGCAAAAGCACGGAGACTAAAAGAGGATTGTTCTTTCCCGAGGACACCAGAAATGCGGATAGGATGGGCTGAGCAGAATTGGTTACGGAGGGCTCAGCACGCAAAATGCCGCGAAACCTCCGGTGAACAGAACTGGTTGCCGTGTTTTACGCAGAATGACCGGGATGAGAAGGTTAACGAAAACGGTACCGGTAACAACAGACCCCAAGGTACTAAAGTATAGAAAGGAAACAAACAACAAAGGTGTCGTTAAGAAAGCCGCGACCCAATCGCTGTCCACGATCCTCTAGGTGCGGATCCTGAAGACAACGCGACTCGGCGCAGGCCGACGGCGAAACAGCGCCTCTCGCCGGTGGCAAACCTGCACGGGAAACACCGACAGGAAGAGACCCGGGGCGAGAACTACAGCTCCCACTGAGGCCTGGCCGACGGCCCCCTTTCCAAATTTCCGCTTCCGCCGCCCGCCCTCGCGTACCCTCTTCAGGGAGCGGGCCGGCGCGTGACCGCGCGTGACCCCGCGTGACCGCGCGTGACTCCGCGAGTGACTCCCGCGAGCAGAGAAGCTCAGGGGCGGGACTCTGGGACCCCACTGGTAGAAACGCGACCCCCCCAAAAGGTGGAACGCAACTTGAAAATCTCGAAAGAGGTTGGAGTTGATAGGACAAGGGCGGAGCTACAGGACCAGGATCCTGACCAATCAGGGTCTGGGATCGGCCGGGAGACCGGGAAGGGGAAAGGGGCGAAATGGTTCTGTGGTCACATGCCGCGGGGTCTAGTGGGAGGAGCAGTTGCCCAGAAGACGCCTGGTGCTTCCTGTTTCCGGTTCCCGGAGTGGAGCACAGCGAGGCGGCTTGGGGAACTCTGGCCTTTGACACGAGTTCTGGGTCCGGGGTCTGTGGCTGGCCCCTCGCTGGCCCTGTCTTCCAGCCCCAGACAGGTATTCAGCCAGGGATTCTGCGCCTTGGCTACTCCCTGTGCCCGTGACACGTGAGTATGAGGGGCGTGGAGGAGGAGGGGAGCTGGAGAGCGCTCACACCCCGGTGCCCGGAACAGGGGCTGGGGATCGCTAAGTCTCCCTTGGCCGGGGTTCTAGCCAAAATTCCAGCTAAGGAGCCCTAGGGCAGAATGGAGGCGGAGGCGTGAGGGCGGGGAGTTAGAGAGTCCCGAAGGGAGTGAGGGAGAAAGGACCTACCAAGACCGGAGAAGGATTCGACGTGTATTTGGAAGGCAGAGAAAGGAAGGACCCTGGGTATGGAGTCGCTGGAGGTGTTCCTGGATACCTGTAGTGGGAATTTTTGGCCTGCATTGTGGAGGAAGGTAAAGTGGCATCATTTGGAGAGGATACGGCTCTAGGCAGTTGGGAAATCAGTAGACGGAATAAGAATTTCTAGAACCCTGGGAGAAGTTTGAAGAGGATGCGTGTATGGTATGGGATAACTACTAGAGGGCTTATCTTGTGTTTTCTCTTTCTGGGGAGCTTCCGCCCATGGGACCTAGAGCTGCTCGTCTAGGGCTTCTCAGCGTTGGGCCATGTAGCTAGCTAGTTAGGGCTGCTCTTCTGAAAGGGTAGACTGCTGGAGACAGGAGATGAGGGTCGTAACCTCAGGAGTGAGCCACACAGCAGAAAGTAGAAATTCCGCTGAAAAATGGGAAATGCTCATGGCTAGTCTCGAGGGATGGGAGAGAGTGGTACAGATGCCCAGTGATTTGAACTGCTTCCCAATTCCTGGCTTAGTCAGTGGTCATTCCATTGAAGAGAATTGTTTAGCATTACCAAAATAGATCTGTCCTAGAACAAGAAAATTGAAGGGGATTTTCAAAATCTTAAAGTTCGGCCCTTTATTTCCAAAGTATCTAGACAGACTGTTGCACCTTGAGGATCTAAGTGTAGCACATTAAAAGGGAACTACACAGCCCTTGGATTTCATAGCTTGCTAATAAATTTTGGCACCGCTATATTTATCAGAAAATAGCTTTATGCCATGAGTCATCCAAGTTGCCCCACCAACTTCGTACATGTTTAATACTTATATAACCTAGGGCAAATAATTTAGCCTTTCTAAGCATCAGTTTCCTCATCTGTAAAATGAGAGAAATTATACCTACTTTTCTTGGCTGTGAAGATTACAATCTAGATAAAGCACTTAGAGCATTTGCCACTGAATCAAAGAAGTAGCTCAAAACAGACAAACCTTAGGCAGAAAAGAGAGAAGAGTGTAAGTTGATTCTCACCCTAACTTCTTGAACGAATAAGCAAATGGAAGAGAGTTCAGCTCCACTAATGGAGACTGCAGGGTGTTTAACCCTTTATCCTATCCCAATTTTGTTCTAATTTGGGAAAAGAAATCATAAACTGTTAACAAATAAGGAACTAACTTTGAGGCCATATAACACAGCCTTCTGTATGAGCATCCCCTCTGGAAAACTGGTCCTGGGGGGGAAAAAAAAAAAAAAAGCTTGACAGTCTAGAACGTTAAAATTTTAAATTAGATCCTGAGAGAATATAAGGAATATGGCATGTTAAATCAGTCTAGTAAAAGGAATCTCTTAATATTTTTTTTTAGGAACAATGCTGGTCATGTAATGTGTTGAGCAATGAGTTAATTTAGGGAAGGTAGGAGTTTGAGGTTTGAGTTCTTTATTCTATCTCTTATTCAGTGAACTATGTGAGGAATCACTTCCCCCTGCTTTGTCAAAAAGAAAACAAGGCTTTGGCTGCCTACTCTGAGCCCCAAAAAATTAATGTGAAAGAGGATACTCATGTAGTGGTTAAGTGTAGACCATGAGCTCTGGAGCCAGACTTTCTGGGTCACTCCATTGGCTATGTCTCAGTTCTTTCATCTGTAAAATAAGGACAATAATTGTATTTACTGCATAGGGTTTTTGTATGGATTAATTAGTTAATGCATGTTAAATGCTTTTAAGAGTAAAAGGCAAGTACTCTATTATAAAGTTTCCTATTAGTGCTCTAAATCTGTTTTCTGGGGGCCTTAGACATTATGACTGGTGATAATTATTCTATGGAAACACTTTACTAATACTACTGTAGTGAGTTGGTTTTGGAAATACACAAAGTCGTCGGAACATCTGGGTGGCTCTGTCAGTTAAGTGCCTGCCTCTGGCTCAGGCCGTGTTCCCAGCATCCTGGGATTAGGCCCCATGTCAGGCTCCCTGCTCGAAGTGGAGTCTGCTTCTCCCTCTGCCCCTCCCCATGCTTCTGCTCTCTCTCTTATCTCAAATAAGTAAATAAAATCTTAAGAGAAAAAAAAATACACAAAGTCAGGGAGACAACTTCCCAAGCATTTGGGAAACAGAAGGTCAAATGTATGTTTGTTTAGGGGAGTAGAGAAAATTCAGTCAGGGCAGAGAAAATTCAGTCAGGGCTCAGAGCTTCCATTTTCCTATCTTTAAATTTACTAATACCCATTAAACTCTGCCTAGTTTTTTATTCTAGAAATGTACTGGAGTTGATGAACTAGCCTGAAAAAGAATTAGAGGACTCTAAAGAGTTAATTAGCCAAAGTCCAGGCTTGTAGTCTGGAAGCATGTTACTACGAGTAAAAAAAGTTTGGAAGAATTAAATATTTGTATGATAACAGTGACACTTATGAAATTAACAAGTAGCAGTGGCCTGGAGGATCATTAACTAATGGACATCAGAGCGAAGTCTTTTGCAAGGATAAATGAGTATGTCCTGGGTGAAGATGGATTAGAGGAAAAAAAAATGAGTTTAGGAAATGGAACCATGTGTTTCCATTCCTAGAGCAGTACAAGGAGCAGGGGAATTGGAAAGTGACTTAGTGATTCCCAAGAATTGTCACCTGTTCAGAGTGTACAAAGACAACTGCTTACTGGAAGTTTAGAAACTCTTGAGATTTGTGACATGTAGAGACTGAGGTGGATTTTGAAAGATGTCTTCACTCACTTCAACCTAGTGAATTTTCTTCTTCCTATAATTTAAACTATTGTGTTTTCAGAGATGAGCCATTAAATTAGGTAAATGTCAGCTTTTAGGTGCTGTGGCTTTATTTATCTCTTACCATCTTTCTTACGATGAATATGAACAAAGACTGTTGATGCTTCTGACTATTGACAGGAGAAGTTAGGAGCCAAAGTACTGGAGTCCCTTTCCCTATTTTACATCTCTTTCAATAACTTTCAACCAGACTTTATCAAGTGTTAAGTTATAATTTGAGTGTTACCTTAGGGAGGACCACAGGTTGAAGCCATTTTTGTGAACAGTATTAAACTTTAAGTGTGAGATACTGCAGTCTAACTTTTCATGAAACCGTAAAGATGCTCATACTCTCTCTCTCAAAATAAGTAAATAAATCTTTAAAAAGAAACCTAAAGATTAAGAATCCTGTTCTGAGTATTAGAGGACAGGGGAAAAAACAATGGGTGAAAGCTAAAAGCTCGAAATAGACCCAAAAAAATAAAACCCAACTTCGTGTTAATAAGGAAAACTGACTAATGTAGAATAAGTGATGGATGGAAGATAAAACAGTAAAAATTGTACATTCATGTGCTTTCTCTCTCTCTTCCCCCACCCCGATCTCCCCTGCTTCCTCAACACCCACACCCTCTCTCCCAAAAGGATGTTCCTCTTCTACAGCTGCTGGCGGACTGGACTGCTCCTGCCACTGCTCCTAATTGTGGCAGTAAGAGAATCCTGGCAGACAGAAGAAAAAACCTGCGACCTGGTAGGAGAAAAAGGGCGAGAGTCCGAGAAAGAGTTGGCTCTTCTGAAGAGACTGCAACCACTGTATAACAAAAGGTAACTGAGAACAGCTTTAAAGGACTTGAGAAGATAACTTTGTTAAAGAATCTTTTCTTCTCGGGGGCCTGGCGGGCGCAGTTGGTGGAGCATATGACTCTTGATCTTGGGGTTGTAAGTTCGAGTCCCACATTGGGTATAGAAATACTTTTAAAACAAAATCTTAAGAATATATTTTTTTTCCTCCATTTACTGACTTTTAGTATTACTACTCTAAATGGAGGGAAAACATGTATAATAACCAACTCTGGGAGATGGTTCTAGTCTGAACTTTAGTAATACTGGTCTTATTTGGCCATGATATATTACTTTTTTTTAAAGTAGGCTCCATGTCCAGCGTGGAGTCCAGGGCAGGGCTCAGATCCACAACTCTGAGCTCAAGACCTAAGCTGAGATTGAGAGCTGGATGCTAACCTACTGGGCCACCCAGGCACCTATGTGTTTTTGGTTGTTGTTGTTTTTTTTTTTTTAAATGCTGTAGAGCAAATTCTGAGCCCAGTTTTTATAGCAGTGTGCAATTCTCTTAGGCAGAAGAGAAAATGCACTGTTTTTAAGACTGGATCCAGGAGACCAGCTTGTAGGAATTAAAAAGCATTATTTGGTACTTCTATGTAATAGGACCTTAGAAGTGTCAGATAAACATTGAGGTCTATACACATCAGAAGTGTCAGGAATCTTCGGGTATGTAATTCTGAAGATGATCTTCAAGGAACCAGGAGCCACGCGATACTTGCCATGAACAAGATCCTATTCACTGGGAAATAGCAAGTGACCCTTCAGCGTAGTCTGGAACAGGTCTTCTAGAATATCTAGCTGTCCTGGATGTTGTGTTTTAAACCGTCCTTGCCAGCAGTTAGGATTGTCTCTGTTCAACAAATGAACTATTCACTATTACATGGGTATTTCATGACCAGCAAATATTATTAACTAGTACGTTTAGTTGTGACATCAGATAAATAAATCGATCACACTTGGCAGGAGGTGGGATGGGGTAGGGGTAGGCAGCTTAAAGGAAGAGAGGCTTTGTCCTAAAGCTGATAGCCAGTAACTTCTCTTCCTTCTTTCTCCTCACTTCTCCTTACAGCTTTGAGAGCACTGTGGGCCAGGGTCCGGACACATACATCTATATGTTCAGGGTCTGCCGGGAAGCTGGCAACCGCACCTCTGGGGCAGGCCTGGTGCAGATCAACAAAAGTAATGGGAAGGAAAGAGTGGTAGGGAGACTCAACGAGACTCACGTCTTCAATGGAAGTAAGACTCTCCCTGTTGGTTAATGGATCCCAGGTCAATCCCTCTGACGATCCTGTATGTGTCAGCCTTTTGCATTCTTTTTAGAGTATTATATGGTACATGTGCTTCAGATCACCTGAGACTATAAACCATAAGATACCTAGTTCCGCAGCTCCTCTGGAGTCAGGGTCAGGACCTTTATGTTTGTTTTAAAGTTAATGAAAAGTTCATGCATAAAGAATCTAGCTGGGATTCTGTAGCTTAATGTGTTTTTCGTACCAGGCTTGAAAACACCAACAACAACCATTGCTCATTGAATTACTCCATGCCAGTTACATTTTCAGAGATTAAACTTTTTTGCAAACCTGTCTACCAAAACTTCCCCAGCTAACTTGGGCTGTGGTTTCTCAAAAGTCATAAAATCATATTGCTGGAAAGAACTACGTGAGCACCTGTGGTCTAATTCCCTCCCTTAAGCAGATAACTGTATTTTCCAGTGCAAATATTTGTTCGTATCAATAACACGATGGAAAATAACATCAAGAATTTGGGGGTAAGTAGGGGTTGGAAGACTGGATTTTTGACCCAGCTCATGTTTACTTTCCTGTGACTTTGAAAAATCATTTCATCTTGTGTTTCTTCATATGTGCAAGATTAGAAGCAGAATCTTTACCTTATTCACCTCACATGATTGATAAATCGAAGGATATTTTGCAAAAGAAATTGGAGTGCCATAAATACTAAAGAAGAAATGGCTCCCGATCTTAAAAATCATACACATTGCATTTATCTGTGGCTAATTTTAAATCTTTGGTTTTCCCCTACCACCTAAGAATTTTATGGAACCTCTTCTTTTGATGTGAGCAGGTGTTCAGAAAATGTCAATCAGTGTGAAAGCATGGGTCCTAATTGTTTTTGCACTATTAGTTGCCTGCCTTTAATAAGGAAAATTAAGACTATTCTTACATGAATATCTGATTCTTTGTTGTCTTAAGGGAACACAAAGCTGTTATAAAGAAGCAGGTTTTAACTTGGTATTTCTGGTTTACGGAGCTCATATTGATACTGGTTATTTTAATCAAAACCAAGTTCATTGAACTCCTCCATTCCTTTCTGCCATCATACCCAGGCCTGCCTTCCTGCCCCAAAGCAACATTTCCGTTGTCCCTCCTCAGGTAATTGGATCATGCTGACCTATAAAGGGGGTGACGAATATGACAGTCACTGTGGCATGGAGCAGCGTCGTGCAGTGGTGATGATCTCCTGCAATCGACACACACTTGCGGTGAGGCATCCGGGGCACATGAGCCTAGAGAACAGATGAGAGCACTGACCTGAGGGGGGAAGAATTTCCACAGGGAAAAAGATATATCAGGACAGACAAGAGAAAACTAGTTCAGTTTTTCCTTGTGTCACAGACACCGGTGTTCAATCATACATGGAAAATAAGTTACTGAATCAGGAGAGAAGGCAAATGTTTTTTAGTTTGTGGGTTTTTTCTTTTTCTAATTAAGCGTCAAAACAGTTAACCACATTGTTGTGTTCTGTTCGGTCCTTTCATCATCAGGACAATTTTAACCTTGTGTTCGAGGAGCGAGGCAAAGTTCAAGATTGTTTCTACCTCTTTGAGATGGATAGCAGCCTGGCCTGTTCCCCAGAGATCTCTCACCTCAGTGTGGGTTCTATCTTATTAGTCACGTGAGTGCTTTTTCCTTTATCAGTCCAAACCTTCCTTTTTTTTCCCCCTTAAACTCAATTACTTGGTGACACTTAGACACAAATTGTCTGTGTGTGTGTGTGTGTACACACTACTATAATTGGAGGGGGGATACTTTTTAAACTCTAATTACGCAAGTTTTAGAAAGTTAGATATACTGTTTCACTCCTAATATTTGCATTTGGAAATGCTTTACATCCCATTACTGGAAAACTGGACAGTTTTATTATGATCCCATTAGATTATAAGAACTTTCGGAGAAGTGGAACTCTATACCTAGCTAATAGTACTTATTCTTGGCTACTAGTCAGAGTCACTCATTAAGTCTTATTTTTGTCTGAGCCTTTGCTTTTAGATGTGCTCTAACTGGTTTTCTAAAGAAGGCACCCTTCCCATTTTAGGGGCGTTTTTTTCCCCCATTTTTATAGAATACAGACTAGGAAACCAATAATGAATATAAAGATTACCTTTTCTTATCAGTTTTACTATTCCTTGGTTATTAAGTAGCGATGTCTTTCTTCCTCAATAGGTTTGCATCACTGGTTGCGGTCTATATCATCGGGGGGTTCCTATACCAGCGACTGGTGGTGGGAGCCAAGGGAATGGAGCAGTTTCCCCACTTAGCCTTCTGGCAAGATCTTGGCAACCTGGTAGCAGTAAGTAACAGGACTGGTGGCTGAGTCTGTAGCCTGCCGCCGAGGCTGAGTGGCCAACCACCCTGGTTTACCCAGATAGAGGATTTCCAGGGATGTAGGACTTCGGGTGCTAAACACAAAGGAGTCCCAGGCCCTAGTACAAAGTAACAAGTAGCATAGCATCTTAGTGTCTGGCCTTGGGAAAGGCTTGGCTGGAAGAACAACACTGTTGCTTAAATTGAGGAATCTGATAAAGCTATTAAGGGACCTGGATGGGGAGAAAGTAAGACCTAATTAGAATTTTTCTCACCTTAGCCCTAAATTCAATTTAGGCTGGCCCTTAGAGGTTCTGGATTTTCTCATTATCCTTGAAGAAACCTAGTTCTTGCCATATTCTTAGGCCATAGGTGTATTTTGCCTCACCCTCAAAGTTGGTTATTCCAAATTATCATTTCCTTCCTTTGCTTCTCTCTACAGGATGGTTGTGACTTTGTGTGCCGTTCTAAACCCCGCAATGTGCCTGCTGCGTATCGTGGTGTGGGGGATGATCAGCTGGGCGAGGAGTCAGAAGAAAGGGATGATCATTTATTACCAATGTGATTGCACTTTAAATGCCCAGCTGCTTCTTCATACCAGGCTTGAAAACAGTCTTCAGTCCCCCAAACCAAAGCATACTCAGCCAGATTTCTTAAGCAGTCTCCACTCCAGTCTCTCATCCCATCCTTAACATTGATCTTGCTTTCCAGTTTGCTTTTGATTTGCATTCTCTTCTCACTAGTAGAAATGCCTTCCCTTTGCTCCCTATTTTGTTTTTTTTTTTTCTAGAGAGGTACAGTTCTAGGACAGATAAAATAATAGGGCCTGTGCAGAAGAAGCTATCACACTATCTCTTGGTATCAGAAGGTACAAGATAGTTACAATGAGCAAAAAAGTGTGGCAGGCTCCCTGAGTCCTGAGTCTTTTTTAAACCTATTTTCACAAGTTTTTGAGACACTGGATTTCTTTAATTAAAAAAAGGGGGGGCAAAGAAACATTATTTATACAAGGTTTGATTGCTTTCATGCTGTTACTCTGTACCCTACAGTAGTCTCCATGAGAACCTGGATGTAATTTGCTGCTTGGAACTACTCTATGGTGATTACTTGGTTACATTCCAAGTATTTGTTTGGTCTGAGCCTGGGGATGTTGCAGGCTTGCTTCTCCCACCTCTGGGATTGGGATGGGGAAAATGTTAATTTCCCACTTAGAGGATTATAAAATACCATCACATCAGTTGTTGGCAGTAGAGTGACCTTATAGCTGGAACTGGGCCCTGGATTGTGGCCTTGTGATGGTCATGGACCTTATATGGCCAAAATGCCTTATCCAGAAGTCTAGTCCGTTGGAAAGGGAAAGTGAATGGGACCTCTTGTGCTATAGAGGTTTCAGAAAAGGTGGGATCTCCTTGATGGCTTTCTTCTCCCACTCACAGTAAAAGCTTTAGGCAGAGCTTTTCTTCTAAGCTGTTTCCCTCTACTAGTATTTCTATATATGTTGCACTTTCTTCACAGGCATGTCGACTTCCCCCTTCCCTCCCTACCAAATCTTCTGGAAAGGAATGAAAGCAGAGGTGGGATATCTAGTGCTTTGCCATCCTGTGCTCTGGGTGTGGAATGCTGCTGCACCTGTCCCTTCTGGCTCAGGGAAGTATCTTCTTGCCCACAGCAGTTTCTGTGGGGAGAGGTTTTGAATCCTCTGATGCTTCCACTTTTTTGTTTAGGCCATGTGCCCAGAAAGAAGCCTGGCCCAATCTTTGCATAATAGTGAACCTGGGCCATTGAAGAGTAACATGGCTCCACTGGACACAAGAGGGCGCCAAAAGGCAGGGGCTTTTAATAGCTTTTAGGGAAGAAAAAAATTATTTCATCTTTGGACTTTTAAATACTATTGGAATGATTTTTTTTTTCTTCTTTCTAAACAGGGAAAATAATGTTATAAAAGCATCTTTTTTGTTAACTTGTTTGCATCCCTCCCCCACACTGGTGTTTTAAAAATGCAAAAAGAAAAAAGAAAAAAACTACATTTTTTGTATAAAAACACTTAAAAGATTAAAAAAACAAACAAACAAGTTGCCCTAGTCTTTTGTATGAAAGAAGAGGGTAGAGACACTGGAATGGAGTAAGAGACAATAGACCAATTTTTATCCTTTTACAGAGAAGGAAAAAAATATTTAATATTTTTGTTGTATAAGGAATAGCGCCTAAGGTAGGTACTTATACTCCTGACCTCAGCCCCACACACTCCCGTTTTAATAAAGCTATAGGACAGAGCAGAGTTGGAATTGAAAAGAAAGGCAGGGCAGGAGAGACAACAGAGAAACTGAAGGGAACAGGGGGATGCAAAAAGAATGACAACCATGTGTGTGCCACACACCTTTTAGCCCCTGCAGCAAATCAGAATGACGCCCACCAAGTCTCTGCACCAGCGAGCGAGCCTGCCACAGATGCAGGAGAAAACGTTCAATACTAAGGGAGCGACGACAAAGAAATCTCTGGGCCCCAGCCACAGTTGGGCAATCCAGAGGGAAGAGAGGGAGTACCAGATGTCGCTACTTGTGTCACACAAGCTAGAGAAACCCTATCTCTCCCACTGTTGAGGCACACCTATGTCCCACCCACTGCCTTACCATACGGTACTGTCTACTCCTCTTGGAGAGCTGAGACCCTGGCTAGATCCTCCACTCCAGGATAAGGCTGAGCAGTCCTAGTTCTCTAGACTGCTTTTATAAAGATTGGATTAGGGTAGGTAAGAAAAGTGAGAACTGTAATGATTTTAAAAAATAAGGTAGAACCAGAGAAAATGTCACAGCTGCCGCCATGTAGCACCAGCAACCAATTCTTGCACTTCTCTTCCCTCAGTAATCCCCTCTGCAGAAGATTCGGGTAATTGGAACAGCTCTTTCTTCCCTGTAAAGTCTGCTGGTACCAGGTTATAACCTGGACAGTGGAGAGTATCTGCCTTAGGCTCGTTTGTGCAAGAGGGCCACCTTAGGTCTCCTTGAGGACGTTTATCTTGGCGCAGATCTTGAGGGCAGGGCCCAACTTGATGTTCATGGCACTCATAAGATGCTCTTCTTTAAGTAATAAAAGGGCCTGTCCATCAATCTCCTGGGAACGAAACTCCTCTGCAATCTCTTGGCAGCCTGGAAGGAAACGGTGGGAATACATGTGAAAAGCTATGTGATGGTACGTACAGAGGACAGGAGGGGGAAATTGAAGGTGAAAAACGGGGGAATCCGGTAGTGGTTAATCCCAATGTACTCATCCTAAATTCAGGAATATAAAAGTCTGGGGTGGCAAGCTTTGGAAGTAAAATGAAATCCGAGAAACTGGCTATTTTTAAAAGCCAAGAGGAAAGAATAACAAAGTTGTTCAATCACAGAAATAACTTCATTCAACTAGCTTGAGGGAGAAAAGGGAAGGAGCAAGATCATATGTTCTCTTTTACACTAGCAAAACAAAGTTCAGAGCCTTTATGACATCTTTGTTTAAGAGCCCAGGGTTCAGACAAATGGCAAAAAGGGTAAGTTGATTTTCTTTTCTAGAGAAAACCATCCTTTGTCAAGAGTTTATAAACAGTCCTGCCTTGAAGAGTGTGGGATAACAGTGGCCCGTACTTTCCTAATCCCATTAGTGGAAACAGTCTTTTATCCATGACAGGTGTCACAAAAATCACATATAAAAAATATGCTTTATCTAAAAATTACTAGTAAGAAAGAGAAAAGTGAAAATCAAACAATGCAAGATTGCTGACATAATAGAGGACAATCAGCCCAAAAGGAAATTAAACCAGAGTGTGTGCAAGTTACTTTGTGTAAATATGAAGAATAGAACCTCTGCCATACCATACTTAAGTGCCTACTGCTTCAAAGTCCATTCTGTTCCCTGTCACAAAGGCCCATGTGGGATAATCTAAAGAAAAGTAAACCTGTATGTGATCTGGGTTCTCCTGGATAAGGCCCTCAATACCTTGTAGAGAAGCGATAAACTCATACACCTCTTCTACACTCCAGCGGCTGGGATTGCTAGACAGGAACACAGGGTTGATGCCATGTAATTCTGGCGTCGGTGGTGCCGTATTGGGGTTCCCCAGGTCACGTTCTCCATGCCCAGTTCGCACAGATAAAGGCCCAGGAGATGTTGGAGAGAGTGCTTCATCGTAACTGGAATTATCTGAACCCCGGCTAGAGTCCTCTTGACCCTACGGAGAACAACACAAAGCCATGAGGTCATGAACAGTGTCAGGACGTTTCTTTTCTTCGCCCCTTCCCAGCCAACGGGGTTTGGGTTAATACTAGGCACAGAGCAAAAACTAGTATTAGAGTGAAGAAACTGTACTTTGTTGGCAAATGCCCGGAGTCACTAGTCCACCCTCAAGTAACTTCCAAGTATAAACTATCACTTTCTTGATTCACCCTTTCTTCCAACAATCGATCTAGATTTTGTCAAATATAATGTGATATAATGATTAGTGCGTACATGAACCAGTAATCACTTGAGAAGAGACAAGGAGTCACGATCTCTTGGAATCTGCACAAATGCTATCAATACAGAACTCAAGAGTTCTGGTCTCATACTCTTTTATCAGGGCAAAGGAACTGCCTGGCAGGAAAAGAGGAAGGAAGAAGGACCATTTTAAAGGTAGCTGGCCGTGCAACGGACGCTCACCCGGTGGCGCTTGCCCTGGATCTTGGCACGAGCGATGTCTGAGGAGCTGCGGCGGGGTCCCCGCCGACGAACGCGAGCATAGTTGGCTTCTTGGAACTCTTTCATTTTTTTCCTCTTCAGCCGGAACTGGTGACTACAGCTCACATTATACCTACAGGTCGGGGCATATACGCAGTGTTGGCAGTGCTAGAGGAGACCGCCGGGCTACCCATGGCTACGTGGGAGTTGGTATTTTAAGACCGACTTGGGGAAGAACACAAAAGTGAAGACAGGAAGCGTCAGCTATGAGGTGATCCTAGGGAAGGAGCCCGCTATTCGATGGAGGAACTGGTGCTGAAGGTAAGGAAGGGGCAGGTGCCCACAGTACCTCTTAGCGCAGGTCATTGAGCAGAACCTCTTGGAGCCTCGAAACTGCTCAGCAGGAGCATACTTCCCGCAGTACTCACACTTCAGGAGGTTTGCCTTCTTATCTAGCTCTGGAAAATAACGCATCCCTTGGGAGCCTATTGCTGATCCCGCCGCTGCTCAGGCCATCGTTAGGCCCACAGCTGGCTAATTACTCTCAGGGTTTGCCCCTCAAGACCTACACAACCTAATTCGGAATCCCTAAAACAAAGTTCAAAATCCAAAACCATAAAGACACGTCCTTGAGGAACATCATGGCCTTCCTGACTTAAACCAGCCCAGTTTCCATCTTCAGCGAATAACTTGATCCCAATTTATACTCTCAGGTTGCCAACAAAACCGTATTTTAGAATAGGAGAGAGGAACTAATTACTAACTAGAAAGATGTTGGATCCCTCTCCCAACACAAGTTTACAAAAGCAGTGGGAGTAATATAAACAAGAGTCCTTAATATAGATGATAAAACCTAGAATGAGAAATGGAAATTTAGAAATATCCTATTTTACATCACCT